CTCTCTCTCTCTCTCTCTCTCTCTCTCTCTCTCTCTCTCTCTCTCTCTCTCTCTCTCTTGTGAGCACGCTTAGTCCAGTTGCTTTGGCTACCTTAGGGCTGCGCGTTACCCGAGCCCACGCGGAACACAATACTATAGTTAGGTAGGTAGATTGTAGAGACAGCCAGCGGGGGGAAAGGGCCGCCAACAGTAAGGTACAAGATCGAAAAGTCAGGAGATAGACACTAAATGAGAATGCTGGGAGAACAGTAATATTGTAGCCAGTTGGGCTAAGTGGACCGGAGGAACGTGGGGTGTATGATAGAGAAGACGGAGTCCGAACTGGTGCTTATGCACGCAAGGATCAAGGGGAAGTTGAGGAAGGAGACGAGGCGGATGGTATTACAAATTTGTGAGCTGACTTTCAAGGCGTAGGAGGCAAATGTCAAGATTGGGAGATATAGCCAGCAAAAGAGGGCAAAATGCACGCAAGGTTTAATCCGAACTTTGGGGGATGAATGGAAATTAGAACAGGTGGCCCGGGCACTGGAGGTGCAGCTTTTGTGGCCCTAGTCTGCCCCCATTGGGCACCCGAGGTGTGCGTCAGGGTACTGAGTCATGGTTTCCCAGCCAGGTTGTGAGCTCCGGATAGGGAAAGCTGGACACACGCCGCAGGACCGCCCCACATCCCCCCCCCTGTATAGCGGCTAGTGGCGGCAGGGGTACAGAGCCAAGCTTTTCTTGTCTGCTGCTATCCACTCTCTCTCGTTTGCGTCTTGACCAATGCTTACCGGTGATAAGCAACCAGACTGATGCCCCCCAGAAAAGACGGGGCCCTGAGTTTTCAAAATGAAATTCAAAAAAAAGAAAACAAAAAGACTCGAACTAAGTACACTTTTCAAGTTAGGCACGCATGGATCTCGATAACGCACCAGCTGTCGAATATTGCCGTTGACTGCCATTTGCCTGCAATACAAGAGAAAAATAATTAATTGCAATATAAAGTTATAAACTCACACCCAACCTTGTTATTTAAAAAGCATAAAACGAGACCCGCCCGGTTATGGGAGCGCAAAACTCTTAGGTGCCAACGTTTTATCACTCCCATTGCAGTGGTGCCAGACGTTGAGCAAGCCCTGGGCCTGACTGTGTCAGCCAAGATATCATGACATTGGCACCACATGGCGGCCCAGGCCGCCCTCCGTCCATACGGGCGTTCGGGGTCCCGTTCAGGGTCCGAACCAGAAGGCGTTTGGCCCCCGCCAAAAATTATTTAGGGGCCTAAAAATAAATGTTTTTTCCTGAATTTGTTTTTGTGAGTTCTCTATGATGTGAGGTACATGCCTATAAATTTTGAAGTCATTTTGCTGAGCCAAAAAAAAATGAAAAATCGCCAAAGATGGCGATCTCGAAGACGTGCTCACGCACTCACTAGTTTTAAATTTTTAATTCTCGTTTGATTTTTCTTATTTTTATTATCAGTATTTATTTTCCGTATTTTATTTTTATTTCACAGTTGGTAAGGAATTTGGATGTAATGCTCAGGCAAATGTTGTTTATTTTATTTTTCTTCATAACATTTTTTTTTTCAGATTTTTTGTATTTTTTTTTTGTTTTGTTTTGTTTTGTTGTTTGGTTAAATTCGGCCAAAACGGCCGAATGCATCCCCACGGGGTCCCGTACGTTCAGGCGTTCCCAAGACGACACATCCACTGGCAAAACCTGTTTTACCTCTACAGCAAACAATATGAACTGCCTTAGCTGGCCTAAACCACCAGTACACAGCCCCAGCCTTGTGGAGAAATGTTCCATTGCGTACTCCAAAAATATTGCGGCTTGGGGAAGGCCCGGTAGTGCGATGGTGGAGGAAGCCAGTGAGGCCAAGGAAAATGGGCAAATGGACTGCAATATGTCCTGCTGCTTTATGCTGTGCACATGTTTCCATATCCACATGCACAGGCGCAGAGCATAGAGAACGCCCTGCCTCGCTGGGTGGCTCAAGTGAAGAAGAAAAAAAAATTGAAAAATAGAAAACGAAGGTTTCAGGGCATTCTTATAGTAACACTTTCTGACGAATATATCTGACCACACTTAAGGCCTTCCCTGGATGAATCTGAAGGCAATCAAATTCAGAGCTTAGCATGCCCTGTCTTCTGTGTGTGTGTGTGTGTGTGTGTGTGTGTGTGTGTGTGTGTGTGTGTGTGTGTGTGTGTGTGTGTGTGTGTGTTGTGAATGGTCACCACAACATCCCCTGTTCCACCCAGATGAGTAGATCCAAAATCGCAGCCACTTTACCTCTATTGTAGAAGATGAAGCATGCTTAAGATGAATCAATCCAGCAAGGAAACCGTGTTGCCTCCATAGTTAGCAACATGAGGCACAATAGAAACGTTACCTTTATGCAAGCAATATGCCTACATGAGTAGATCCAACATCATAGGAACCTGACTTTATGCAAGTGTGTGTGTGTTTAATAAGAAAGCAAAAAACGAACTTGCCTCTGGGAAAGCTTGACGTGACACCCTCAGCTTATAGTTGTCTGTATTCAGGTTTTATACAACTAAATCCCCGGCTGTTTCATTGGGGTGAAGACGGCATACTGTTTTGCATTCGATGTGTCCACAGAGACTCGGCACTGCCACGCAAGAGAAGAGTTGTCAGAGCACCACTTCCCCTGACATCAACTGACGCTGCGACGATATACAGGTTGGTCACGGGAACGGTCACTGTTCCTGTCGCCAAGGGGTCATGCATGAGGGGACTAAATTTTGAACGTCATCACTTTGGCGAGAGTTTCATCAGGATTTGAACCCGCAATCATCTTGTGTGTTTTTAGCATGGACCAAACATTATAGTACACATCCGATTTCATCAGGATTTGAACCCACGATCTGTTCCGTAGCAGTTACATGCATGTATCATTCAGCGACGTGGGATGGGATGGGTATCGGAGATGTCGTTTTCTTTTTCTGCTTCTTTTTTTTTTTTTTTTTTTTTGGAGATGTCTTTTTCAAGTTGCTGCTGTTTTAATTTTGCTGTTCCAAGGTGCTGGTTCGCAGTTTCCTTTCGTTTTTTCAACAGTTCTTGAAAGTGTGTAAATCAAAAAGATGGGACTGATGCAAAAAAGCAAAAAAAAAAAAAAGATGGGACATATGCAAAACAAAAGAAGAAAAGATGGGACTGATGAATATCAAATAAGACAGTCAAGAACCGACTGATGTTTTTGGCATCTACTGGGATCTGTGTGCGGTTCGCCAACACTCCCACTTCTCTCCTCCACATCGGCCCGATTCTGCCCGTCTCGCAAGAGGAACATTCCATCACAATTCCTGCTCGCATGCCTCCACACACTTGTCAGGCCACTAAAGCTTCCAATTTGCCCTCCATGCTCACAAACATCCAACTAGACACGCGGATTTCTAAGGGTCAAGAATCAGTTGGGATTTGGCGTCGATCGGAGTTGCGCTTTCCCCAACGCTTCCACGTCTCTCCCCACATGGCCCCATTTGTACTCCCCTCGCAACGGAACACCACACACCAGTATCGGGATAAGTCACACTCATTCATGGCACGTCAGACGTCAGTAAACCGAACCAGGTTGTGGACTAAGTCATAGACAGCGCAGGCATAGATGTTCAGCAGGTACAATTGAACATCTGAAAATCAGGTGTGGCATCCCCCATGTCAGGCTGCCGAAGGGTGCATTCTGTCAACCGTTAAGGATGTTACCGTTTCTATTGTTTTCTTCTTAATCGGAGCAGCACTCGATTTATGGGCACCATTCCCCCCTAACTTTGTTGTCTTCATCTGATTCCATCAGGATTCAAACTCGTGCTCTGTTTATTAACAGTCAGATGTGTCTACCGTTCGGTCCCACAGGCGGGCAGGGGTGATGGTTTCTGTTCTGCCCTCAAAAGCCAAGTCATTGTGTACAGAAGAGTGAACGGTAAGTTCCTTGAAACTGAGTGGATGCTCACGCTTGGGCTATCTTGACCGAATTTGGACATCATCGTCATCAGATACGTCCAAGGGGCAGGGTTGATGGTTTCTGTTCTGCCCTCAAAAGCCAAGTCATTGTGTACAGAAGAGTGCACGGTAAGTTCCTTGAAACTGAGTGGATGCTCACGCTTGGGCTATCTTGACTGAATTTGGACATCATCGTCATCAGATACGTCCAAGAAAATCTGCAAGTGTGAGTGTCCCCCAAGGAACTCGGATGGCAGACCCCTTACAAAACAAACTTCCACACAAACCTACACAGGCATGTGCGCAGATCGACTGCACAAACAGCGGAAACAAAACAGCATAGCCAGATAAAGCGCAGTTTACCATCGGTAGTGTCTTCGACTTCGGCAAACCTGGGGACACCTTTCCACCCCACTCATACCTGCACAGCAATCCACACCGCACATCCAGACCTCAATCATCAACAAGATGTTGGAATATTTACATTAACCAGTTACGACACTTGTTGCGCCTACGTCTGGTTTCTTTTACCCATGGCTACGATCCAGACGTCCAGACCATCGTCCAGACGGTCGGGACTCTGGATTCAGTCCGGACTCCAGACAACCGGTCAGGGAGGTCCGGATCTGCCAAACTTAAAAAAAAAAAAAAAAAAAAAAAAAAACCTTCAAAAAAACTTTAAAAAAGGTCCCAGGACCCTTCCCCACTGAGGAGCCAAGCCCCCAAAATTGTTTTTGGGGTTTTTCAGGCCCGTTTTTGTTTTTTCGGGGGGTCCCGACATGGCCTATCTTTATAATAATTTATTAGACATAACCATTTTTTCAATAATTAATAATTCATTACTTTATTTAAGTTTTTTATAGTTTTTTACTTTTAACTCAAGTTTGGTTAGGAATTCTGACTTGACTCTGAGGCAAAAGTGGTTTGTATTGTTATTCTGCATAACACTTTTTTTCAGATCTTTTTTTTTAATGGTCTCGACTCTGGACATTTCCGGACCTGTTTACCGGTCCAGACCGTCCGGAACCGTGCATGTCCGGATGTCCAGATCCGACCGGACACAAGTCCGGTCCCCGGACATGATCTGTCCAGGTCCGGGCCCGGGGTAGCCATGTTTTTACCACTTGTTTTATTAACATCTGATTTATAATTTATACTTGCTCGGTTCATGGCTCGGGCTAACAGTTTTCTGCGGCAGTTACTTTGACCTCTTCCTTTTTTTTCTTTTTTTCTTTTAGTCAGTTTGACCTCTCCTTTTTTTTTCTTTTTTTTTCCAGTTACTTTGACATCTCATGTTTTTGTTTTTAGTTACTTTGACCTCTCCTTTTTTTTTTCTTTTTTTTTTGGTTACTCTGACCTATCCTTTTTTTTCATTTTTTTTTTTTCGTTACTTCAACGGAAGTTGACCTCTCATGTTTTTGTTTTTTAGTTACTTTGACCTCTCCTTTTTTTTTTTTTTTTTTGTTTCTTGGTTACGCTGACCTCTCCTTTTTTTTCTTTTTCTTTTTTCTAAAGCTACTTCGACCTCTTACAAAACAAACATGGAAACAATTCTTCATTCTGCACACTCCAAGCAGTGGGCCCCTACCACATCTTAAGATGTCAATCAGCAACAAGGAACCAAGATGGAGAGGAGCGCGCTCAATACAATGATCTGTGCCTTCCCGTGTGTCATTTATTTCTTTTCTGCCGCTCCTCTTATGTATTCGTTTCTTAAAACCACCAGTACTTCCGAGCCTCTTTTTCCCAAGGCCCAAAATGCCCTGCGCGCCAAAGAAGAATGAACCGGCGCTGGCCTCGATTTGGCTGGCGCTGCCAGCCATTTTGCTCCGGCAGCTGACCGCCGAAAGTTGCGGGACATACGCAGCCACATCGGAGAAAAATGGATGAGAAACGTACTGGGGGTTGAAGAACAAAAAAAAGAACGGGAGATAGTACCAAATACCCCTCCCTAACACTATCATATCCAGCACGATTTGGACTGGTGATTTCTTAATCAACAGGCAAATGTACCCATCTTTGTCTCTTAGTTGTTCATTTTGTCCAATCTTCCTTTCTTGTGACGTTGATTGTTCCCAATAGTTGCAAGCTAATTAGACAGCCTCCTGAACCGAGGGCAAAATTAGGGCATGGATTTTCTTGACAGAATGTGGTCCTAGTTACGATCGGGTACATTCAGAAAAGTCTCGGTGTAAGTACTGCAATCAGACTCGCTTTCTTCTTCACTTCGCATTCATGCAAACAGATAGCAATTCACACTGGCGCCAAGCGCCCACTCAAAGCTCAGAGATATGGAAACCGAGAACACAGTTCTTATGCAAACTCGCTTCAACAGGCTATGGCGCTTCAGCGCCTGTACATCCAACTCTCGTCGCTGTGATCAATACCACTGTTCGCACATACTCAACTCTGGATCACCCTGAATACCCCACACTCATTCGCTGTATCACACACTCGTACACACACGCTAACTCCTAACACTAGCTATGACGGCTATGGCCGCCGGCTACTACTGCCTATGACTACGCTATCTTCCTTCAGCCCACTTCAACTTCGGGCGACCTGCAGACCATCTCGCACAAGACGCTGTGGCAGCGCTTCCGCATCGCTTACGCCGCGAATGAATGAATGGCTGGGCGCTGCCTCTTGATTTCTACTTCTGTAAGTCGTTGGTCTGCCCTTTTCCACCGGGCCCATGGTGCACACAGTCCCTCATGGTACTTGCTGACTGTGCAAAGTGAGACTGGGACTGGGTACCGCTGACTAAGCGAAGTTGGACTCACCGCTTGCCCACTTGCCTCTGACTAAACGTGAGAAATTCTCGAAAGGCAACTTTCGGACCTTCCGGAAGTTTGCCGACTTGGCCTTTCAGGACTGTAGCAGCTAAGACCTTGACCTTTCAGGACTGTAGCAGCTACGACCTTGACCTTTCAGAACTACAACAAGTACGACCCCTATGCAGGCGTGACCCCTACTTCGACAGGTCTAAGGTTCAAGACCCTACAACTACTCGGACCTACGGCAGACAACTGCAACTACTAACACACAGGTCACGGGTTCAAAACTCACAGGGTCGACTTGATACTGTACACAGGTAAGGTAAGGTAAGGTGAGGTCTGTGGATCGAACTCTGGGATCCGCAGCTGTGTCTGGAAAAAGGTGAAAACTGTTTCAGTACGCCCTAAGGGCACGGTCACACCAGCACTGACCTACAGACTTGCCGTTCACTTTTCAGACCAAAAGATGAGAGCAAATGAAATCACAATTGCCTACCTCTTAGCAGTACCATATTTGCCAACGAATGGCGCAATTTTATGCCAGCTCCGGAAGAAAACTCTGCACAGGAACCGAGTGCAAAAAAGCGACAGGAGTCCAATCAGCACAGCCATCCAACAAATTTCAAATTAGCTTCCACTACACCCAGAACAGAGCAGAAGGAAGACAGACTACACACACACTGAAACTGTTATTACTAAAGAACACACTCCCGAAAGACACAGGCGAAAAAGTCCAAGACTGGGCCAGGCCGAGCCTGAAGAAGCTCAGGCCCTCCCAGCCAACTGGTAGGGATCACACAAGTCCGGATACTTCCAGATCCCGACTTCGAGTACATGTAGGGGGTTGGGACACTCCAGATCACGACTTTCAAGTACATGTAGAGGGTTGTGGCCCATGAGGCTTCCTTCTGCCGTGCTGCCAAGAGGAACCAGCTGAAGCTGAGGCCGTCGAGATCAGGAGGAGGTTGCATCGAAGCCGTAGCCACCAGCTTCTCTGAGGATCGCGCCATTCTGGTGCACCCACGTATCCAACTGAAATTACAGCCACATTCAAGATTTTGACCATCCATGATTTTGTCCTTTGAAAAAAGGGGAATGTAGCAGGATAACACCTATCTTGAGTCCGGTTGTCCACAACTAGATTTAGGCACTGCTCGCTCCGATCCTCTCCAGAACGTATCCGACTGAAATAAAAGCCAGATTCGGTGAAGGATTTCCTTGCATGGGTATGCTTCTAATCGACCTTATAAGGCCAAACTTGCTCCTACGTGGCCCTATAAGGCCTTTGTAGGATGGCAAGCACATTTTCGGGGTACTTTACAGACTCTTCCCTCGGCCCAATTGAGCCTATCCTTGGTACCAGTACAGATTTTACTTGGACCAGGCCCATGGTCATGGAGTATTTCAAACTGCCTTACCCTTATTGGTTTGGATCTGTTCTTGGTACTGCCTGCATCTGCTCCAATCGGAAAAGAAGACAGCCCATGTGAGGAATTCTCCTTGAGAACTCGGCTTTCGAACATTTCCTCTCATTGCTATTGCCGTATGTTTCTCAAGCTGACCGTTCATCTCCTTACTCCGTCAATCCAGACCTCCTTAGCTTTGATGCATTGTGCAGCCCAGCCAAGTGCTATTCATGTCTCCTTCCATAAGCTTTGACTAGTTATACATGACACTAAGAAAACCTGTCGTGGTTCATACTCCTTATAGCAACCTTCCTGAGTCCTGATCGTTCATCCTGACCATTTAGTATAGTAGCGCATTATCACGGGCCCTACTGTCTTGGTTCATACTACCTATTGTTACCCTACATACTGTCTTGGTTCATACTCCCTATTGTAACCCTACATACTGTCTTGGTTCATACTCCCTATAGCAACCCTATAGTAACTCATTATTGCTGAAGCTCTCACGTCTTTTCAGAGGCTTGAACAAAACCATAATAGTTAAAAATGCACAATTGTGAGAGAAGCCAGAAAGAATTTGGGAACCAGGCAAAATCATTCTGAAAGGAAAGGGCCCCTAGAAGGGCATATTCACACGGGGATTTCCTGGATGCATCTGACCAAAATTGCAGCCGAATTCTAGTGCGAGTATGCCCTTTGAAACCAAAACGACTTGCTGCACTCCTTCGTTCTTTTCGTCTGGCAGAGTTTTGACCACAAAACTTGACTCTGCGATCTTTCTGAGCTCAGGCTAGCATATACTTTCCTAGACATGTAGAATGTAGCAATGGGTCTAAAGAAAACAGGAAGAGTACAAGTTTTATAACAGAAAAAATCTCTCTCTCTCTCTCTCTCTCTCTCTCTCTCTCTCTCTCTCTCTCTCTCTCTCTCTCTCTCTCTCTCTC